CCTGCACGGGGGTCGGGGGACCTGAGCTCAGCTCGTTTCCCTGATTCGCGCTCTGTGCCACTTGGTGGGAGTCAGACAGCCTCCCTGGGCCTCAGTGCTGTAATGTGGGCATGTTGGTGATACCTGAAGTGCAGTTCAGCGGGGCAGCGGGAGGCGGGTGCTGGGCCCTGAGCCATGGGCCTTGCTCAGTGTTAGGTGAGTTGGAAAGCCCTGGGGTGAGGGCAGACAGGAAATGTCCTTGCTCCTGCAGAGAGAGGCGATCCTGGGCAGCAATACTGCCATGAAGCAGGACATCTGAGGGAGAGTGGCTTTCACCAGGCAAAGAAGGGGCCCCTCAGACAGCATGCCTCTAGGGAGATGGGCTGCCATGGCCAGATGGACAGGATGGCCTGGGGGCAGGGGCTGGCCGTGGTGGACTGCAACTGGGAGGCAGAGCCAGGGGCAGCCTGGAGGAGTGTTGGGAAGCGGGTGGGAGGAGGCTGGTGGAGGCTGTCACAACAGCCCTGAGGTTGCAGTGGGTGGGTGGAGCTGGGTGTGGCTGGAGGCGTGGCCTCGGGAGTGTGTCCTGGTAGCCTACACCTGTTCTCTGATGCTGCAGTGCCTAGTAAGGACCTTGCACGGAAGAGGGATGGCAGGGCCATGGCAGGGTGTCCTGTGTGCACCTCGCTCACCTCCTGCCTTCCTCAGACACGGGCGCTCAGGCAGCCTTGCCGAGGCGGCGCAGGCAGGCTGGTGTTGGTGGGTTGGCTGGGGTGTGGAGGGCTTTGGTGCTATAGGCAGGCAGACTGTGGGAGTTATGGCTGACAGAGCCAGCTGCAGGGGAATGGCCATGCAGATGACACAACCCGGTAGCACAGAGCTGGGAGGGCAGATGGGAGGCCAGCACTGAGGCCCTGGGCCACTCCCAGGAGTGTAGCAGGCAGAAGGAGCAGAAGCCACCTCCAGACAGGACAGGGCATCTGGAAGGGGAGTGTGCCAACCTTGGGGCAGAGAGGCCCAGAGCTAGCCTTCACTGGGACCATGCTGGGCTGCCTCCTTCCTGAAGATGCCCTGCAGCCTGCCCGTCATACTCCAGGACATGGCTCAGGGGGACCGGGTGATGGCACCTCTTCCATGTCAGCTCTGTGGAGTGTGCATGTGGACATGGCCGCTGAGGGTGTGGCTTACTGAAGAACACCTGCCTAGGAGGCCTCCTGTTTTGTGTGGTTCTGCCTGTTGGTCCCCCAGGTCGGCATGTCTGTTGTGTTGGGGCTGTGGAATGGCCAGATGAATGTCAGCTCAAGGTAGGAGCCTCCAGGTGAGGCTGGACTGCCTCAGGAATGGACCTGGAAAGGGACATGGTCTCAATGACCCCCGTCCCACTGGGACAAGAGGAGAGCAGGACACATGAGAGAGCAGCATGGGAGGAAGCCACCTATGTCAGTGCATGCTGTCCTAGATCCTGACACGCCACCTGACCCATCCCTCCCATCTTGTGTGGGCTCCTGTGTCCACAGAGAGGGTGAGGCTTGGCTGATACTGAGCAAGGCCTGCAGGCACACAGGGTTCCCATGTCTGCTGTCAGTTTAGAGAAAGCCCCCTGTGCAATGAATTATGTCCCCCAAGTCTACCTGTGGGGACTGTGCCTCCCCATGGACTGACTGCATTTGAGATGGGCTTTGGAACATTTTAAAGTTAAGTGAGGCTGCAGGTGGGAGCGGAGTCCATAGAATTCATAGGAGTGTCCTTCAAGAGGAAGAAGGGAGGGAGCTCTTCACCATCGCCTGGAGGACAGGACAAGGGGCCATCTATAAGCCAGGAGGCTGTGCCAGACAGTGAACCTCACTGGACCTCGACCTTAGACTTTCAGAACTGTGGGAAGTAAATATTTGTTAGGCCACCCAGTCTGTAGAATTTTAATATGCCCAAGTTGACCAATACAAAGTCATTTACAGAACTCCTCCCTTATCTGTAGTAACCTTTGGCCAACTACAGTATGAAAATATTAATTAAAAAAATTCCAGAAATGATGCATAGATTTTAAATTACATGTATTCCAGTTGGGGTGATGAAAACTCCCACCATCCTGCTCTGTGCAGTGTGGGATGTGAATTATCCCTTTGTCCATTCTATCCACACTTTATATACTACCCTCCCATTAATCACTTAGCTGTCTTAGTTTTCAGATCAACTGTGGTGGTATCGCAGTGCTTATGCCGAATAACCCTTATTTTACTTAACACAGTGATTATTCTATTGTGTTATTACTTTCTATAAGTCTTTTACCATATTTAATTTATAATTCAAAATTTATCATATGTTTCTATCAGAAAATATATCAGACACAGGATACTAGCTGTGGTTTCAGGCATCCGCTGAGGTCTTGGAATATACCCCCTGTGGATATGGGGGATATTGTATTATTCAGCAAACACTGATTGGTTCCCTGCTGCAGGGACCATGGCGTGCCTTTTTATAGTCAGATGCGCAGCCTGAAGGCCACTGTGACCCAGGGGTGGAGGCACAGAGAGTAATGGACCCGCAGTGATGGGCCTCTCCTACTGGAGCTGAGTTAGTGCAACAGAATGTTCCATTTAAATTAGTTGCTAGGCATGAAGCCTCCGGTCACAGACGGGTGGACTCAATCTTACTGCTGTCCTAAGTTTAGCTGTGCCTGAGACTTGCTGCTAGGGTGTGCTCCTGGGATGACGCATGCTCAGAGTCCTGCCAACCCTGTGGGCCCTGATGTCTTCCAGGTTCAGACAAGCTCGGCCCTGCCCAGGATACCCTGCAGCCTTCAGTGTCCTCACGAGACCCCGCAGAGGAGGAGGGCCTGAGTTCCTCCAACAGAGTGGCCCCAGCTGGGTTGCTTGACAGGGGATGAACCTGAGCAGAGGCCATCAAGCGGGATCCCTGGGCTGAGGGTCCAAGTCGGGAACCCTCAGAACAGGACCATCCTGAACATTCAATCATCATGAGCAAAATGAAAATGGGGTGAACTTAGCCACCTTTGTGTTCTGCAAGCCTCTCACTTTGTAGGAGGGCTGCAGAGTCATCCAAAGTTTTGCCCAGATGTCGATGCCCACAGCTGAAGACCCGGGTCTTGCACATTGATTATTTCTGATGCTAGCAGTGCAGTATTAGCAGGAACTGGAATTCCTGGGCCCGTCAGTGGACTGCTGGTGTGTGTTCTGCTGTGAACACGTGAACACGTGCTCAGACTGCCCGTGCGGAGGTGGGGCTGGCTGTGTGCAGAGCAGCACAGTGTGTGCGGGTATTCTGAAGGGCCTGTGTTGACCAGAGCTCTCCACATGACTGACTCAGTTTCTCTGTATGTGAGCATGCGGACTCATGGGCTCACATGCACACAGGTGATCCTGCATGTGCTAGGATCCTGCATGCTGCTCCACAATCCGAAGCCTTCCACTTGAGTGGGCAGATGCCCTCCAGTGCCCCTGCCTGCCCTTGGCATCCCCCCTTGGGGCCCAGTATGCTCTCTGTCCTGCACATCACCCTCCCTTTAAATGTCTGCACTCTTTGCCACATTCCCTTAGGATCTGGCTCTGATAACGTGATAATGAATGATTATATTTAATGAGACACCCATCTCAGGGCATATCTGTGCATTTTAATAGGGGCTTTTTGGAAAATATCTTAACCCAAAAAAATTCCCCAGTTTTTTTTTTTTTTAAGAAGTACCTAGGTCAAGTAAGTTTAGGAGGTGATTCATGCAATGATCCCCCCTTGAGAATTAGGAAGATATGTGACATATTAGGTGTCTAAATTGACCTGCAGTACAAATCAAGGCTCCGTCCAACACCATGTGTTCCTGTCCTTGCAGGAAATACAGGTGTCCTTACAGGACATACAGGTGGCCTGGGAGACATGGCCCTGAGCCCATGAAGCCACTGTGCTGTGCAGCTGTAGGCCTGGGCAGGCGGATGGAGCATTTACTGTTGCCTTTTATAATAAAAAATGTTATCATGATAAGATTCATAGCAAAAAGGTCACCATTTTATCATTTTTAAGTGGCACTGAGAATGCTCCCATCACTGAGCTGCCACCACCTCCTCCCATCTCAGAACTTACCCATCTTGCAAAATTGAAACTGTGGCCCCCAACAACAGCTCTCCATTCCCTGCTCCCCTGTCCCTGTCCACCACACCACTGTCCATGTCTATGCTTCTATCATAAGGACCTCACGTACGGTGGGTCATACGGTGCCTGCCCTTTGTGACCGCTCGCCTCAGGTGACACAGTGTCTTTGAGGTTCACCATGGCGTTAGCAGGTGTATTGCTTTTCTTTTTAAGGCTGGATGATACTCTATGCACCTTTTGCTCATCCATTCATTGATCGATGGACATTTGGCTCATTTCCTTTTTTGAGCTATGGTGTATGATGCTGCTTTGGACATTGGTATATGGCAGTGGTTCTTGGTCACCGGTCTGGCACCCCCACATAGATGGTGCTGTGTTTGGTCCATGCAGGAGAGTGGTGATGTTGTGTCGTGTTCTTTTTAGTGGAGACCAGAGTATTTTTGTTGCAGGCAGTATTTGTTGCAGAAGTATTTTTATTTATGGAAACCATATACTATTGCCTATGAAATCTCTCCCAAAATGTTGATAGACAGGTAGGTCCTGGCTTTATGAGTGTTTCCAAGTACTTATCTCATAGAAGTCACAAGGGGACTGGCAGGTCACGGGGAAAGGTCTACAGGAGGAATCCCTGGGGGATGTGGTCGGCTCCTGTCCTCCTGCCTGGCTCCCTCTGCCACATTGGCGATGCTGCCCCACAGTTTAGGCTGCTCTGTTGAGCCAGTTTTACCAGGGTGGGGAATTGTCTTCTTGAAACCTATTTCCTGCCACATAGTGGCAAAGTAGGAAGATACAGAGTTGGGGTGGCCTTGTAGCCTGGGAGCCTGGCTGAAAAACATCTTTTTAAAGATCACCTAACTGCTGGGGAGGCCACGTCCTTGAAGATGATGTACGCCTTCTAACTGCACCTCATTTTTCTCTCCTAGCTTATGTTCCCGAGGAAGAGTTGAAGGCAGCAGAAATAGATGGAGAGCACGTGGAGGATGGTGGGCTGTCTTTGGACATCCAGGAGGGCGAATTTGTGTGTGATGAAGAGACAGAAATCAAAGAGGCCCAGAGCTACCAGAACTCCCCCGTCAGCACTGCGACCAATCAGGACGCTGGCTACGGGTCACCCTTCAGTGAGAACAGTGACCAGCTAGCCCATTTCAAAAGTTCTTCCTCCAAAGAAGAGAAGGAGGATCCGCAGTGTCCAGACAGCATCTCATACCCCCAGGACAGCTTGGCACAGATCAAAGCCGTGTATGCAAACTTGTTCTCGGAGTCCTGCTGGTCTAGCTTAGCTTTGGATTTAAAGAAGTCGGGGTCCACCACCAGCAACAATGATGCCGGCCAGAAGGAGAGCTCCACCCCCACCCCCACGCCCCCTGCCAGCACGGCCAGCACCACGGCCAGCTCCGCCAGCACCAGCTGCAGCACCAGCACCAGCCACAGCAGCACCACCAGTACCAGCAGCAGCTCCGGGTACGACTGGCACCAGGCCGCCCTGGCCAAGACCCTGCAGCAGACCTCGTCCTACGGGCTGCTCCCGGAGCCCAGCCTGTTCAGCACCGTGCAGCTCTACCGCCAGAACAACAAACTCTACGGCTCCGTGTTCACCGGGGCCAGCAAGTTTCGGTGCAAAGACTGCAGTGCTGCCTATGACACACTGGTGGAACTCACAGTGCACATGAACGAGACGGGCCACTACCGAGATGACAACAGGGACAAGGACTCTGAGAAGACCAAGCGGTGGTCCAAGCCCAGGAAGCGCTCCCTGATGGAGATGGAGGGAAAGGAAGACGCGCAGAAGGTGCTGAAGTGCATGTACTGTGGACACTCCTTTGAGTCCTTACAGGACCTCAGCGTCCACATGATCAAAACAAAGCATTACCAGAAAGTGCCTCTGAAGGAGCCAGTGCCAGCCATCACCAAACTGGTCCCTTCTACAAAAAAGCGAGCACTGCAGGACCTGGCGTCCCCTTGTTCCCCGGAGCCCACAGGCGTGGCCGCAGAGGTTGCCCTGAGCGAGTCCTCCAAGGACCAGAAAACTGCAAACCCCTACGTCACCCCAAATAACCGCTATGGCTACCAGAACGGTGCTAGTTACACGTGGCAGTTTGAGGCCCGCAAAGCGCAGATCCTCAAGTGCATGGAGTGCGGCAGCTCCCACGACACCTTGCAGCAGCTAACCGCCCACATGATGGTCACGGGACACTTTCTGAAGGTGACGACCTCGGCCTCCAAGAAAGGCAAGCAGCTGGTTCTGGACCCCGTGGTGGAAGAGAAGATCCAGTCCATACCCCTGCCCCCTACCACCCACACCCGCCTGCCGGCCTCCAGCATCAAGAAGCAGCCGGACTCCCCGGCAGGCTCCACCGCGTCGGAAGAGAAGAAAGAGCCCGAGAAGGAGAAGGCGCCGGCGCCGGCAGGCGACGTGGACAAGAAGATCAAGGAGGAGAGCGAGGATGCCACGGAGAAGTTCGAGCCCACTGCCCTCTACCAGTACCTGCGTGAGGAGGACCTGGACGACAGCCCCAAGGGGGGCGTGGACATTCTCAAGTCCCTCGAGAACACCGTGTCCACCGCCATCAGCAAAGCGCAGAACGGCGCGCCCTCGTGGGGCGGCTACCCCAGCATCCACGCCGCCTACCAGCTGCCGGGCACCGTGAAGCCGCTGCAGGCGGCCGCGCACAGCGCGCAGGCGCAGCCGTCCTACGTGGGCAGCGTGAAGCCGCTGTCCTCCGCAGAGCACAACGCGCTCCTGCACTCCCCCGGGAGCCTCACGCCCCCGCCGCACCGGAGCAACGTGTCCGCCATGGAGGAGCTGGTGGAGAAGGTCACCGGCAAGGTCAGCGTCAAGAAGGAGGAGAGGCCGGCCGAGAAGGAGAAGAGCTCCCCCGCCAAGGCAGCGTCTCCCCTGGCAAAGGAGAATAAAGACTTCCCCAAGTCCGAGGAAAGTGGTGGCAAGCAGCTGAAGAAGGGCCCGGATGCCGAGGCCGGCAAGGCCAGGAAGGAGGGCCAGGTGGAGGCGCACACCCCCAACGGCACGGACCCTCTCAAGGCCAAGGTCACCAATGGCTGTAACAACCTGGGCATCATCACAGACCACTCGCCGGAACCTTCCTTCATCAACCCCCTGAGCGCTTTGCAGTCCATCATGAATACCCACCTGGGCAAGGTGTCCAAGCCTGTGAGCCCCTCTCTGGACCCACTGGCCATGCTGTACAAGATCAGCCACAGCATGCTGGACAAGCCCGTCTACCCCACCACCCCGGCGAAGCAGACCGGCGCCATCGACCGGTACTACTACGAGAACAGCGACCAGCCCATCGACCTGACCAAGTCCAAAAGCAAGCCCTTGGTCTCTGGTGTGGCCGACTCGGAGTCGTCGCCTCTCCGGGAGAGCGCCCTCATGGATATCTCCGACATGGTGAAGAACCTCACTGGTCGTCTGACCCCCAAGTCCTCCACACCCTCCACCGTGTCAGAGAAGTCTGATGCAGATGGCAGCAGCTTCGAGGAGGCGCTGGACGAGCTGTCGCCTGTTCACAAGAGGAAGGGGCGCCAGTCCAACTGGAACCCCCAGCACCTGCTCATCCTGCAGGCTCAGTTTGCATCTAGCCTGCGGGAGACCGCTGAGGGCAAGTACATCATGTCGGACCTGGGCCCACAGGAGCGGGTGCACATCTCCAAGTTCACTGGTCTCTCCATGACCACCATCAGCCACTGGCTGGCCAATGTGAAGTACCAGCTGAGGAGGACAGGGGGAACAAAATTCCTCAAGAACCTTGACACAGGGCATCCTGTTTTCTTTTGCAACGATTGTGCCTCTCAATTCAGAACTGCTTCCACCTACATCAGCCATCTGGAGACGCACCTGGGCTTCAGCCTGAAGGACCTCTCCAAGCTGCCACTCAGTCAGATTCAAGAGCAGCAGAATGTCTCCAAAGTCCTCGCAAACAAGACTTTGGGCCCGCTGGGGGCTGCCGAGGAAGACCTGGGCTCCACATTCCAGTGCAAGCTCTGCAACCGGACCTTTGCGAGCAAGCACGCAGTCAAACTGCACCTTAGTAAGACGCACGGCAAGTCCCCGGAGGACCACCTGATCTACGTGACCGAGCTGGAGAAACAGTAGCGTCCAGGTTTGCAAGTGACCGCAGAACATTGCACTAAACGTCGTCGTACTGCACTAGGCCTGGCCTGAGCCGCTGAAATCAGTCTTTCCTTTGTTGCTGGACTGCCTCTCTGGACCTTGGTTTTTCTTACACATATTTTGTAGTTATATTTATATGCTCTTTGTCTGATCTGTGCATGTTATTTTTCTTTTTCTGTGAGTCAAAGTCTGACCTTTATTTTCAACATCTGTTCTTGATGTTAAGCTATCTTTTGTAGGAAATAGTGGGGCACACTACTCAGAGACCTTATTTAGCAGTAAAGAAAGACACAAATAGCAATGATAAAAAGACATCCTAAAATTACAAAGTTGCCATGACAATAAAGGTCATAGAACCTGGTGGTGTCAAATTTAACCCTTTGAGGATGTAATTGCATCTCTGTGCCTTTCACTCAAAAAAAAAAAAAAAAAAAAAAAAAAGGGAAAGAAAGAAAAAAAGGCTTAAAGGCATTTCATTCAGATCAAAAGCTGTGTCAGACACAAAACTTATTTAATAATTAAAAAATGAGCTTTTATATGCAGGACTGGTTTGCGAGGGAAACATGCATGCAGCCATTGCAAGGCAGAAAGCTGTCGAGGACTCATGGGCAAGGAGGCCACGACTCCACATGTTTAAAACAAAAACCACAAGCAGCAACAGCGACCCCCGTTGCCACTATGCCCAAACCCTCTGGATGCTGAAAGTGACACTTTGGCAAAAAAGAAAAAAAAAAAAAAAAAGAAAAAGAAGTATGCAAGCTATTATTTAAAAATGTGTAAAAATGCTATTTCTTTTTTCCTGTAAAATACTGCCGTTTATAGTTATTTACAAATGTAAGCTTTGGTACAAGCTGACCTTTCTATAGCGTGCTGCATTGGTAAATGAAAAAAAAAGGGGGGGGCAAATGTTGAAGTCCTTTTCCTTGTAAGTTGCCAGCATCAGCTTAAAAACTCCTGTATGTTACATATCGTATCATTTTAATCTATTCCGCTTTCTTTGTACCTTCTGGCTGTATGCTTTCTCTTTTAACTTTTTATATTGTCATTTTATATTAAATTTCTGTGTATATAATGTAAAACCACAATTTTTGAATAAAATTTAGTTCCTGCAGCTTGATTTAAACAGAGAAATCTTCCTGGCACCTGCGTCTTCCCTGATGCATGTACTCAGAGGAACTATCAGACAAAAATAAATAAATAAAAACCAAGCGAGCACTGCACTATTAATTATACATTTTGATGTTCTGTCATTAATATTGTACAGTACATTTTGGTTCACACAATTAAATCCACTGTTTTCTCAAATGTAAAATAAACCCACACGCAGTTCTTGATTTACATGGATCGTCATGTCGTCATTATTTTGCCTTTGAGATGCTATTTCAGCAACAAGAGGTATTGCTTATGCAATCAACCAACACAGATTCTATTCAGAATCATCATTTCATGATTTGTGTGTCGACATGCTTCATTCAGATGATAAGTATTGCATTTTTAAAAGTGATAATTAAAATTTTTACCTCCCCTGGGTGCCAGGGATTGCCGAGGTTAGCCATCGCACCGTGGCTGTTTTGTACCTAGACAGCCTGTGATGCTTCCTTCAGAGAATCCTTTTGCACTGTTTAGAAATATTTGTAATTAACCTTTGTGTACATCTGGGGACTTAATGATGGAGTAGATGGGTAGGTCTTGCTCCAGCTTCACAGACCCCAGGGATCTTGGAATTAGTTCTCTATTTCTGCCAAGAGGAAAACCTGATTTCTGAGCTTTTAAAAATGTACGATTAAAAAAAAAAAAAAAGACCCAGCTGCCCTTTATTTCAGTGTTCGAACCACGTCTTATTTCTGCAGACTGCTCTGGACACTGCGGACTGCACTGAGGCGGCCGGGACCCTTGCCCATCCGTGCCATGACGTGGCCATGAGTCCAGGATTCCCTGCTCAGTCCATTTTGAGGGACACATGGACACTGATGCTCTCTATACTCGTCTTTTTTTTTTTTTTTTAACCTCCCTGGAAGCATTTAAGCAGAGGATTTCACTTTTTACCTTTTTAAAATTTTTCGTCAGATTTATGTCCTGAGAAAGGTTAGAACTTACACAGCTCTGTTCAGACGCAGCTAAGCAGTTGTGATATTTTAATTATTTCCCGCATCGCCCACGATGGTGAGGATCACTCTGCTTCCTTGATGATGGAGGGGAGGCCCGGGTCTGGGTGAGTCATGTTTGCACGGGCTTCTGTGCTAATGCGGCAGAGCGCCAGGGAGGTTTGCTGAATTTTTCTGATTTTTTTTTCATTGGTAAATAGCTGTGTCCTTTAGGAGCTTCAACCATTTAGACATTTCAGTTCAATTACTGGGTGATTATGTACTTTGGGCTCAGAGGTGACAGCAAGGAATACCAATCAGGCCTGTGGCGGTAGCGTGGGGTCTTTGCATATTCATCCTCGGAAGTTATATTCGTTTTACCACAGGCCCACAGGTATTTCACCCTCCTAGTAAGAGGGTGAGGCAGCAGGTGCAGTTGCAGGGCAGTGAGGCTGCCCAGGAGGGGCTGGTGGGGACAGTCCTGATAAGCCACAGGAATGTCAGAGCTGCTGCAATTTGAACTCTGATCACTGGAGAGAATTCGGGGTTCCCCCCTGGGACTGTGTTCCCTGTGCTTTGTAACAGGCTGCATACTATCCTCAGTATCTCAGTCCGAGTTCCCAGTCAATGGGCAGGAGAGTCAGTTTCTTAATACTACTGAAGATGGTGATCCCACTCAACGTGACCGAGTCCTACTGTGTGCCAGGGTCTGTGCTGAGTGTGCTACACACAGGGCACTTATTCCCCTCTTACACCTCCTTGCTCTGGGACCCACACTTTCACGTCCAGTTTGCAGCACAGCCCAAGCACAGCAAGGAGAGGTGCTTGCTCATGGTCATATGGTTCTCGATGGACAGAACTTGGGCTTTGAGCCGCCAAAGCTTTTGCCACAGAACCCCTGTGATTTATCACCCAATGACAGGCTCCAGGGAGCTAGAGCCCACACCTGGGAGTTGGGGCGCAGAGCTCAGCCTGGGCTGGTGGACGGTGATGAGAACAACCTGGGCCTGAGGCTGCACATCCTTTCAGCAGACACCAACTGTTGCAAATTGCAACACCTTATTTTTCTGGATCTGAACAAAAAGTGCATTTGCTGTGAGTTTTACTGACTTCAGTTGTACACAGGTATGCCTGCTGATGCAGAAGCCCAGTCTGCACACATAGAAAGAGACGGAATAATCCGCAAATCCAATGCCCACAGCTTGAAGGTTCACTCATTTCTACCTTCTCCATCTGCTTAAGTAAATCTGTTGTCCTGTTTTGTGTCCCAGCAAATAGGCCCCTCACGTGGCATGAGGTCTCCTGTCCCTTGAATCCTATTTAGCCCTGGGTGGGCAACGGACCTGTCTCTTCTGAGGCACGGGGACAAAGTGGCCCTGAAGGGCTGGGGGAGCCAGCCACCCATCCCAGTTGTAGGTGTGGGAGGAGGGCCAAGGGCAGGAGGCCAGAGAGGAGCTAGGTGACGTCTTGGCCAGCATTTCTGTTGGGTTGGCCTGTCACTGTGCACAGACAAACATAACCACATTTCTCATGATGTTGCAGCTTGGACCTTGGATTTAATAACTATTCAAATATTTTCCCTTCACATGTAGGATCTTAGAACATTGGAGATGTTCCCCAGGATGTAGGTACGGGGAGATGTCGCTGTTGCTTCATTGGTATTAGAAGAGAACCAGTGAAATGATGATGGAGAGTAGTTCATGTGAGAGAAACAAACTTGAAGACCGTGTACACAGACAGAAGCTTAAGCTCTGTGTCTCCCCATTTCTGCAACTGATGATCTTTAAAGAGCTGTTGACCTTAGTCTACAGCAAATCCAAACTACTTAGGAACTTTTAGAAACCTGTGCATACCAATAACGGTTTCTCTTTTCCAAGGTATGATTTTCTTGTTACCTACTTCATTACAGTTTCTCTGGAGATGCTGATACTGTGAAAGCTAAGTAATGACCTTGTAAACTTTTAAGATCCCAAAGAGTAGACTCTCCAGTGGAGAGATACTTGTGCTTTTTATGTGGTTTTCTTAGGATAACAGTAATGCATAGTCATTGCAGAAAATGGAAAACAAAGGCCTAAAGAAAGAAATAGAAATGACTATTTATATCTAGAGAAGGGTCATTTTAGTGCTGGCCTTTTTCCATTTTCCTATAAACAGGAAGTGGGCTGAACCTAGTTTGTGCCTCCTTTCTCTTACCTGGCAACAGATAATGTAGCTCTCCCAATCATGAAGTGTTTAATTATTGGGATGTACTTTATTTAATCAGTTTCTTGCCAGCTAATTTTTCTAAAACAACACATATCTTTTCAGATTTTCACTCTTACAATGAGTTCAAAGAACATCCCACTTAATATTGTTGTGGATGTTACCAATTATTTCCTTAAAACAAATACTTAGACCTGAAATTTCTATACCACAGTGTAAAACATTTGCCCAGGTTGCTCACAGTAGAGCTGGTGCTGGGTCACATGGCCATTTGCTGGAGAGCCACCATGCCTACACAACTTTGCTTTATGAATGTAGAGGTGTGATTTTTTTTTAAATAGGCCATTTTCTTTAACTGGCCAATATAATATAGATTATTAAATTTATGATAAATTAAAAGTCTGTTATTTATTTATGTGATTTAAAGAGAATATTGCTTAAGAACATGTATGACTTTCGGAGTCCTTGCTCCTGAGTTTGGATTCCATTTAATCTCAGGTGCCATCATGCAAGCTTCACATACAACCCAGCAACACAGAAGGAAAGGGTTTCCCTGGGCCCCCCGAGGATTAACATGAGATGACTAGCTATCAATCCTTTTCTCCCACTTTAGCCCACAGTACTGTGTCTCATAAAATGCCCCCAATGGCTTCAGGTCAACAGTGGGCTTTTGTACTGTCTCCAAATTGCTTGACTTGCTAATAGGAAGAAAGCTCCAAATTCCATGTTTTATGTTAGTAATTTACAATTAATATTGAGTAGTAAACAAAAATAATTTGAAAAAAGTAGAGTACTTGGCAAGATGAGAGTGACCACCAAGGATGCAGTCTATAAAATAAAACGCTTGTGGCTGGAAGATGGGAGACATGGACCACTGTAGAAATCTCCGCCAGAAGTCGCTCCTGCAGGGAGGTGCTCCAGAGCTCAAGGTCATGGGGCGCTAACCGAGAGCCCAATGTCTGGGACCCAGGTTTCTCAAGGGCCAGTGTTGAGGACAGCAAGGAGGGTGGTACCTGCATCATGGTCAGGAGGCCCCCTGGAGTGCTGGGAGTGGTTCTCCATACAGAGCAAGAAGATTTCTCACCAATAGCCATTAAGAAGCTGACCATAACTGGTCAGTCATTTTCAGTTTGACCTGACTGGTCAAGAATGAGGCATTACAGGTATTTTACTTCAGACAGACAGTAGAAGCAGTGGGCATGTATTTGATCACATTTTGTTAAAATATTTGAGATATGGCATACATAGAAACTAAAAAATAGAGAAAATACACTGCTTACAGATGAATTTAAAAGATGTCTTTAAGACTGAAACATTATTTAAAAAAAGCTGAAATCACAAGGATATTTTTCTTTGAAAACTTGCTTGACTGACAGGTGCATTAATGGAGAGGCGCTGGGGACAGTTAGACGGGGACCATCAGTCTCTATGTGAATGAGGAGGAAGGCCCCATTCTGCTAACTGGTGCCATCAGCCAGCCTCGGTAGGACTCTTACATAGCTGCGTTTTCTACAGGCCGTTCACAAGATTAAAATATTTTCTTCCCTTCAGTTGATTTTCTTCTTTTAATACATTTTTTTTTTTTGCATTTTTAAAAATTAATTTATTTATTTATTCTAATTAGGCATTTATGACAGCAGAGTGCATTTTGATTCACTGTACACAATTGCAGCACAACTTTTCATTTCTCTGGTTGTATAAGATGTAGTGTCGTACCATATGTGCAGTCATACATGTAACTTTAGGGTAATGATGTCCATCTTATTCCACCATCTTTCTTTTTTTTTTAATTTTTATTGTTGGCTGTTCAAAACATTACATAGTTCTTGATATATCATATTTCACACTTTGATTCAAGTGGGTTATGAACTCCCATTTTTACCCCGTATACAGATTGCAGAATCACATCAGTTACACATCCATTGATTTACATATTGCCATACTAGTGTCTGTTGTATTCTGCTGCCTTTCCTATCCTCTACTATCCCCCCTCCCACCTCATGTCCCTGTTTAATGTTAATCTTTTTCTCCATGCTTTTCCTCCCTGCTCTA